TTGTCATATCGTAGTTATTGAAATTTTTATCAATAAGAATCTAAAATAAAAAATTTAATATATTAATTAATAAGTGAAAAAAAGGTAAATTTTTATATTATTTACTTACACGCAATTTAATTAATGTAATTATAGTTTTGCGCAATATATCAGGATTGTATTCCTGAAAATGTGAAGGCAAAATACAATTATCAATTTCTTGGAAAATATACAATTCTTTTGCTGCGATGTTTAACATATAAATTTTCATCTCAAGTGCTAAAAATATTGCATATATAAATACATTTATATTTTTTTTAAAAAAAAAACTTATTGGATTTATTTACCTGATGTAACTGCTCCAAAAACTTTGAAATCCTCTATATTCCGTAGCGTCAAATTGTCATGAGCTCTTCTAATTATATTATGTAGAAGAGTACATGACTTTAGCGTATCTTCTAACTCTTTTTTTTTATCATTCAATGATCTCGATTTCCTATGTTCTATGATTAGGAACTTAATCCCATGCTTTAAATTTGTGATAGTTATATCCGGAACTAAACCACGTGCTATATTATCTTCAATAGTTTTTGTATAATTTCTTCGATCTTTATTTGCGTACAACTCTCTAAATATATGTAAAGTTTTACAAATAAACACAAATGATATTAAATATATGATAGTTTTACTTTACAAAATTCAATTATTTACTAAAACTTAAATTCTATAAGGTTAAAATTATCAAATATATATAATAATAATTTACAGACTTTATTTAGTATTTACTTTTGTGCTTTAACAAAGTAATTTTTGTCAAAAAATAAAAAAATATTTCAAAATACAAAGCGTTGCTAATGTGATTTTCACTATGATCCAGATCCCAATATCTTGATTCCAAACTAAAAAACTGCTAACTATAAAACAATATTTTAGCAAAAATACTTACTAATTTAAAATAAGTATACATATATATATACATTTTTTTTGTAATATTTGTAATTAAATTGAACATAGATGTTTCAAAATTTTGTAAAAATAAGTTATCACGTTGTTGCCATTTCTTTATATATTTATTTGCTTTATTAATATCTGATATTTGCCTGAGTTCATTTAGTCGATTCATTCTTTGTTCACCAATACCTGATAAAGGTACTAGATCATCTAGTTGTGCTGATATTTTTTTGCAATTTGATTGTATAGATATTTTTTAAATAATAGTTTATCAATTTCAGGGATTCCTATTTTAATTGGATCACTATTATACAATATAATAAAATAAATTGTTAGTATCCATATATTATAATAATATATTTTTCATTTTACTTACAAAGGACTTGCATTTTCATATATTGAAACCATTATTTCTTGGACTGTTGGAAGGTTTTCTAAAACTATATCATCCTTAATATTTAAAGGTAAAATATAAAAGTTAAATAAGAAAATTAAAATTATAACAGTAATAATATATAATATATAATATATACTCCTCCAAATAAAAGAAGCCTTATTATCCTAAACTACTTTGGTTGCTTCAGTTTTAGAACGCTGTATCTACATGGTGTCATCACTATACCGTAGCGTAACTTATACACACACATATACTAAACATAAATATCCAGCAAGATAATTTACTTTCTATTACAAGTAAATCGATTCCAAATCATAAGTTCGTGAATGTACGGTTAAAAGCCTAGAAGAAATATAAAAAAAAGAAAAGTAAAAGTTAAAAGGTTATTTAAAATATTAATAATATGAAAACAGAGTAAATTCTAAATAGAACTTTTAAATTCCGTGGTGCCGAAGTGAACTAGTAGAGTCAAAAGGTCTTAAATAGAAATAAATAAAAGTTTTAGCAAGAGAAATAATAAGTTAATAAATAAAAAAAAAAGAAAAAAAAAGCCACTAGTTTTAACGCTACGTGAGTTTTTAAAAAGAATGAAAACTTGCTATTTAATTTAAGGTTTCTTAAGAAAAAAAAAAGATTATAGAAAAAGAAGTAGGTTTTTTACCAAGAAATTTTTAGAGCAAGATATTATTCGCCCTTTTAGCAAATGTGAATTGTGTGTATTATTACAGTAGCAAGTTTATTTATAACGCGAAAGTCAGTTTGATTGGCAAAATTTTGAGTTAAAGGAGCATGATTAAAGATACATCTGATTGGTTGTTGATCCTTAAAATCTTTAATTGGCTGCGCAGAATTTTTAGAGGTATTGTAACCGGGTTATTTGATGTGACTAGGGTTGTAACTTACAAAATTTTGGAAACTTACGTAAGTTTACTTTTAACTGACGTAAGTTGTAAGTTACCCTTTTTTCCTTCTTCGTAATCTTTCGGAGTACTCTTCACAAATTTTTGAAAATCTTGCTCGTCTTTTGTGTTTATTAACATTATACTTCGGATCTTTTCGGAGTCTTCTAGCTTGACTTTAATGCCAGCCACCATATTTCTTAATGCTGGCCCGCTTTAATCTTTACACAGGTGACCCAGTGCTTAAATTTTGAACCGGGTCTTATCTCTAGTATTAACAACCGTCTAATTCAGCTGGTATTAAGTTAGCCTTGGCCAGTAATCAACATAATTCGGCCTAGAATTATGAAACAAAGTTTATGTGATTGAACAGTTCCAATCTTTACTGATATTTTCATTATTCCTGGGACACCAGACTAAAAATTGGCCGAGTAATTAACTATTAGATTCGATAAGTTATTGATTTCAGTGTTGGAGATTTTATTCGGGTGATATATCCAAGTGGAGATTTAGTAGAGATACCCGGCTATGTGAAAAAGTATATATCCCGAATTTCCCCATTACCCTATGCCTGTTACTTAAGTCAGTAAGCTGTTTGTCGGTTTTTTCAAAAAATCAACTGGCTTAGCCGACTAAGTCGATTTATCGATTAAAGCAAAATCGATTACAAATACTAATTGGATTCTCTCCTAATATTTTTTAAAAAATAAAATTATTCCATTTGATTTAATTCGAGTATAAAAAAAATCCATTAATAGATATTTATATATTTAAACTAATTTTATTCGCATTAATATACGTAGTTAGTATACAAATATTTATTATCGATGTAATAAAATAAGCTATGAGTATTTAATTTCATATTATTCACATAAATTTAGTCCGAATATAAAAATATTTATTAATTCATGTACGGTATATATTTTAAAATGAGCTATTCAAGTTTATTCTTTTAATTAAGTCCAAGAGTATAAGAAAATTTAATAGATACATTCTAAACAAGCTTATTTTACTACTAATTTATTAT